AGCGATTTCCTGAACGTGGGGCATTGCGGAGTCAAAGACGAAATGTACACGCTTACCTTCATCGATGCCGGAACGCGCTACGTGTGGGTCGTGAATGTGGAGTCGCGTGACAGAGCGTACGAAGTATTTCGGCTTTGGCTGGCGCATGCGGAGAGGCAATCCGGGAAGAAACTCAAGATTTGGCAATCTGACGGCGCGGCAGAATTCAGGAGCAACCAGATGCAGACTCTCCTCACACAGAAGGGGATCGAGCACCACATTTCTCTCCCCTACGCGCACCAGCAGCAGGGCATAGCCGAGCCGACCAATCGCACACTGATGACGAAGGTACGCGCACTGATGAAGCAGTCGAAGTTGCCGCCGATCTACTGGACCTACGCGATGCACCACGTCGTGCGGGTGCACAACCTGCTTTCAACCACCGCAATCACCGGGAACCTGTCCCCGCACGTCAAATAAAGTGGAACCAAAGGGGACACCTCCATGCTCCGGGTATGGGGGTGCATGGTTCAATACCGCCCGCCGACCTCAACCATCGGCAAGTTCGCCAGCCATGCACGCTGGGGAATCCACCTCGGCATCAGTCACGAGCACAAGGCGTGGATCGTGCTGGACCTTCTCAGCAAGAAAACCACTCACGCTCGCGACGTCGTCTTCTACGAGCGTCTCTTCCTCGACCAGCTCCGCCGCGACGAGCAGACAAATGCGAATCGGGTCTACGCCAACGACGGCCACAGCTACGCAACGCCCGAAGACGAAGCCGCTGCAGCAATCTTGGAGCAGAGCACAAGGGGGGATTTCGCATGGGAAAACCGGCGCAGCGACGACGACGACGATGATTCCTCAGGAAGAGGAACAGGCGGAACAGACGGAGGCGGAACAGGCAGAAGCGGCACAGGCACAACACCGCCAGCACCTAAACCGGAGAGTGACGACGATGATGTGCAGGAAGTCATCCCGCAACGTCGCCACGACAGCACCATCTCAGGGCTGCAGCTGCTCGGACTTCACACCGCAACCTCGCAGGCACCACGCATCATCGAGCCCCGAAACCCGCGCGAAGCACTCTCTGGACCACACAGCAAGGAGTGACGTGAGGCGATGGACATGGAAATCAAGGCACTGGAGTCACGCGACACCTGGGTGCTCGTCGATCGCGCAGCGATCAAAGGCGCAAGAATCCTCTCAGGGAAGTGGGTCTTCCGCGTAAAAACCGCAGCGGATGGGACGATCGAGCGCTTCAAAGCGCGTTGGGTGGTTCGCGGCTATGACCAGAGGCATGGGATCGACATCGACCAGACGTTCGCCCCAGTCAGCCGCCACACCTCCGTCCGCATCCTACTCGCCATCGCAGCTGCAAGGCACCTGCCATTACGTCAAATCGACGTGAAGAACGCGTTCCTGTACGCGTTAGTAGACGCCGTGATCTACGTGGAACAGCCACACACCTACGGCGAAGGAGACTCCCGCGTATGTCAGCTGCGCAAGTGACTCTACGGGATCAAGCAGGCTCCAAGGCTGTGGCATCAGTACTTGCATAACATCCTGCTTGAAATCGGGTTCAAACAAATGCCACACGATCCAGGGATGTACCGCTGCGATCTCCACGGCGAATACATCCTCCTCACTGTGTACGTCGACGACCTGCTCTACACAGGCTCGAACAACGAGCTCCTCCAGCAGTTCGAGAAGGCTCTGGCGGGGCGCGTCGACATCACATGCAACTACGAGGTGAAGCAGTTCCTAGGCCTCAACATCACCTACGCGCCTGAAGCCATTCACCTTTCAGCGGCTAAGTACGCAGAGGAGTTAGGGAAGCGGTTCAATATTTCACCTGCACCTCTCTCAACTCCCTACCGAAACCCCGGACCGAACTACAAACCCAACGCCAAAGCCCTATTTCCCGCTGGAATTCAGACTTATCAACAGCAGTTGGGATGCCTCCTCTTCGCCTCTGTCACCTACAGGCCAGACCTCTCGTATATCGCAAGTCAGCTGGCGCAGTACTCACGCAAACCAACGGCTGAAAATCTTCTGGACCTACAGCGCGCCCTCCAATACTTTGTTTCGACGCCCAAGATTGGGCTGCGTTACTCAACTGCACCAACCCCATCCTTCAATCTCACCGGCTATGTGGACGCCGATCACGCAGCAGATCCCGATAATCGACGGTCCAGGACTGGGTTCCTGTTCCGACTTGAGCCTACGGGACCAATCTCCTGGAATTCACAGAAGCAGGAGTTGGTTGCCCTGTCATCAGCCGAAGCGGAATTCATCGCAGCAACCGCAGCAGTTCGCGAAGGCCTCTATCTGCAGGAACTCCTGCAAGAGGCGAAAATTCCAGCTTCGCCGACATTTCGTCTTCACTGCGACAACCAGAGCGCGATTCGCATCGCGAACAAGCCTGGTTTCGTTAACCGCACCAAGCACATTGCGCTGCGGTACTTCTTCGTGAAGGACGAAGTGGACAAAGGCAAGGTCAACTTGACCTACTGCCCAACAGGTGACATGGCAACAGACTTTCTCACGAAGCGGCTGCCACGCCAGCAGTATCAGCACTGCTCTGAACTCAGCGGCGTGGTCAAGCAGGTCAAGCCAAGCTACGGCCAGGAGTGAAGGGGGGTGTTACGAATAGTAATACCCGATATTACTATGCACTCCTCACCGTAGCAAGGAACACACAATATCGGGAATGAACGCAAGCGTCAGACGGTTGGAATTTCAGACGGTTACAGCACATCTGAACCGTCGGAAGCAAATGGCATCGGACACCTGCAGGCAGGATGTTTTTGGCGGGAACAGTTACGAAACTGCTTGGCCGAACGGTTGGGATGCAGTTGAATAAGGGAATGTACCCCTTAGAGTAGATGGCTAGCTAGGACGCTTCAGATTCCCTTGTACTCATATTTATACCGCTGTATTTGCATGTTTTTATTATCTCAAGCATTTTACATTCACTTTGCCATTGAGGTCAAGGGCCCACCAACACTACCTCACTGCGTGCGAACCTTCCAGAGTAGATCCTGGGCTACGATCAACTTCTGATTTCAGCAATTGTCAAACTTATAAACTATAGTCCATCTAGGTTGTAGTGGGGTAGACACTAAGGGGTATGGTTTCCTAGGGTTTCATATTTGTACCCTTCACATTCTTTAGTCATTCATTCCTCATTTTATCACATGGTATAGAGCAGGTTCCCTAGTGGGAACTTTTCCTAGGGCCCACCAAAATCGATTTATTTTTTTTCTGCCCGGAGCGCGCGTCGCCCCTGCCCGAGGCGCGCCCCGTGTGCCGCCCTCCCGTTGAGTCCCCTGCCCTTAGTGGCCCGTCGCGCCCTCTTAGCGGCCCCTCTCACGGCCCCTTCGCGGCCCCTTTGTGGCCCCGTCGCCGCCCTTCACGGCCCCTCGCGGCCCTGTCGCCGCCCTTCGCGGCCCCGTCGATGCCCTTCGCGGCCCTGTCGCCGCCAGTCGCGGCCCCGTCGCCACCCCTCGCGGCCCTTCGCGGCCCCTCTCGGCCCCTCGCGGCCCCTTCGCGGCCCCGTCGCCGCCCTTCGTGGCCCCGTCGCCGCCCTTCACGGTTCCGTCGCCGCCCTTTGCGGCCCCGTCGCCGCCCTTCGCGGCCCTTCGCGGCCCCTCTCGGCCCTTCGTAGCCCCTCTCGGCCCCTCAAGGCCCCCTCCCGGACCCGTCGCCCCCCTTCGCGCCCCTCCCCCCCCTTCACGGCCCTTCGCGGCCTCCTCTCGGCCCCTTCACGGCCCTGCCGCAGCCGCCGCCGCCGCTGCAGACAGAAGCAGCAGCCGCCGCCGTTGCCGTGACAGCTGCCGCCGCCGCTGCCGGGGCCGCAGCCGCCGTCGCCGCCTACAGCAGCCGCCGCCGTCGTGACAGCCGCTGCCGCTGCTGCCGGGACCGCAGCCGTCGCCTCCGTCGACAGCAGCCGCCGCCGCCGCCGTCGACAGCAGCCGCCGCCGCTGCCGCTGCCGAGACTGCAGCCGCCGACGCCGCCACTGACAGAGACGCCGCCGCCGCCGTCCCGTCTCTGCCCTGCAGCCGGGGAGCGGCCCTCTTCTGCCGCCTTGTCGCGGCCCTGTCCCTGCCGGCGCGCCTCGGCCCCGCCCCACCATCTACGGGCCTCTACCCACCCGACCTGGTAAAAGCACTCCCGAGCAGCGCCTCTGCCACTGAGCTGCCCCTAGCCTGCTACTCTTACTACTAGCTTGCTACTGCCGCTGCTGTCATGGCTACCCCTAGTGTTCTTACCTTAGATGCCGAGGGTCGGGCTGTCGACTTTGAGGTCTGGGTCGATGACATACAGCTTTTCCTACAGTGCGATAGGACAGATGGTCTCTCCCTGTTTGACCTCACGTCGGGTGCCTCTCCTGCCCCTGCTGTTGATGCTGACAGCACTGTTCGCTCACAATGGGCCACACGCGATGCTGCTTCCCGTCTAGCTGTGCGTCGTCACTTACCGACGACTGAGCGTGCGCATTTTAGTCAGTACAAGAGTGCTAAGACCTTGTACGACGCTGTAGTTGCACGCTACTCTTCCCCTGCCACTGCTGCCCTTAGCCGCCTCATGCTGCCGTACCTGTTCCCTGACCTCGCCGCCTTTCCCACAGTCGGTGACCTCATTACGCACCTTCGCACTAGTGACAGCCGCTACCGCGCTGCGCTTCCTGCTGAATTCTGCGCCAAGAACCCACCACCCCCATGTACATCACCCTTTACTACATAGTCGCCCGGCTCCCTGACTCCCTTCGCTCGGTCAGGGACCTCTTCTCTCTATTTGCCCCACCACACTCACCGTTAACCTCCTCGAGGAGTGCCTCCTGGCAGCTTAGAAGAGTATAGTTGCTGTAGGAGCCTCTCGTGGTGACCCTCGTACCCCCCTCTTTGAGGGGTGTTCCCCCTCCCCCCTCCCCCATCTTGCCCTCTGTTGCCTTTGCTGCTGCGGCTGACCTCGTTGGCCTCGAGTCGGACGGCGCTGCGTCTGCCCCTAGCGGGAGATGCCGCACCGGCAAGGGCGATGGGGGGCAAGGGCGCTGGAGGAGCTGGCGGGGGCGGTGGAGGTGGCGGTGGAGGCGGCGGAGGGGGTGGGGGTGGCGGTGGGAGTGGTGGTGGGGCTGGGGGCGTTGGTGGCGGCGGTGGAGGCGGAGGCGGCGGCAGCGGTGGCAGTGGGAGCGGAGGAGGCGGCGGTGGCGGAGGTGGCGGCAGCAGCGGTGGAGGCGGTCGGGGTGGCTCTACGCAGCGGGGCGGCTTCAGTGGTGGTCAGCGCCAGCAGCAGCAGCAGCGCACTCGTGAGACCCCACCCTCCCAGCAGCTTCGTGAGTGGTACGCTGCGCGTCAGCGGGGTGGGGGTGCTGGTCCCTGTGCCTACGTCCTGCGTACCGGTGACCGCACTGGTGAGACGTGCGGTGGCCCACACACCACCCAGCGCTGCTTCGGCCGCTTGACAGACGCTTGGCGTCTCCAGTTCCCTGACGCCATTGAGATCCCTCGCTGGGGCGAGCTATTTAGGTCGGGGGTTGCTATCTTTGATCTTGATTATGATGCTATTCTTGCTGCCATTTTTGCTGTGTCTACTAGTGATGAGGGTGACTGTTACCTGTGTGTCCCGCCTGACCCGGGCATTGAGGCTGCTGCTCTAGGTGCTGGTGAGGCTGCTCCTCTAGGTGCTAGTGCGTCTGCTGCCCCAGGTGCTGGTGAGTCTGCTCTCTCAGGTACCACATCAGCGTCCTCCTCTTGTCCCCGGTACGCACCGGATGTCTCTGCGTCCTTCCACTGCTCCACTTCGTGTCCCTTTGCCATCTCCTCCAGATTCTACTCTTCCTGCTCTTCCTGAACCGGAGTCAGACTCCCTTCGTGCTGCCAGTCCTACTGGCACGCGTCTCCTTGCTACTGTTGTCACAGACCCTTCCTTCGAGTCCACTGCTGCGTCTGCCTTAGTTGCTGAGCTTGTCGGCTTTGCTGCTCGCTTTCGTCTAGACTACGCTGCTAGTCTTGTTGCTGAGTCTGAGTCTGTCTGTCCTCCGTCCGTCGGGGGTGAGTGTTCTCTTGGCACGGACGTCCTCGAGGACAGGCAGGAGGAGTTCCAGTGCTTTGGTGTTGCTTTACCTCATCTCGTGTCCATGCTGATTGCCCCTGAGGGAGACCCGGATGCACCAGACATCCCGACTCCGCGCTCTTACGCAGAGGCGATACAGGGTCCCTAGTCCTCTAGGTGGCAGGCAGCCATGGACGCAGAGATGGCTTCCTGGATGTCCACAGGCACCTACGTCGACGAGGTTCCCCCATCTGGGGCTAACATCGTCAGTGGCATGTGGATTTTTAGGGTGAAGCGGTCGCCGGGTTCTCCGCCTGTCTTCAAGGCACATTACGTGGCTCGAGGCTTCAGTCAGCGGCAGGGAGTTGACTACTTTCAGACCTTCTCTCCCACCCCGAAGATGACCACTCTTCGGGTGCTGCTACACATAGCCGCTCAGCGCGACTACGAGCTTCACTCTCTTGTTTAGCACTGCTTTCCTGCAGGGCAGCATGCACGAGGAGATCTGGCTGCGCCACCCACCTTGCTTCACTGGGTCGTTTCCTCCTGGTACCCAGTGGATCCTCCGGCGGCCAGTCTACGGTCTCCGCCAGGCGCCCCGTGAGTGGCACGACACACAGAGGACTACACTTGCGGCTCTTGGGTTTGCTCCTTCTACTGCCGACCCATCGCTGTTTCTGCGCACCGACACCTCTTTGCCGCCGTTCTACATCATTGTGTACGTCGACGACTTGGTCTTTGCCACAGCTGACACTGCTGGACTCGCCCACGTGAAGTCCGAGCTGCAGAAGAGACACACATACACAGATCTGGGTGAACAGCGCAGCTACCTTGGCTTGCAGATCACTCGGGACAGAGCACAGCGCACCATTACCCTAACTCAGTCACACATGGTGCAGCAGGTCCTTCAGCGCTTCAACTTCACGTACTCCTCGCCTTAGTCCACTGCTCTGTCTAATCGCCGCTCGTTCTCAGCTCTGCCTTCGGATGAGTCCGTAGAGCCGAATGGCCCGTATCCAGAGCTTGTTGGCTGCCTCATGTACCGGATGACCTGTACTCAACCTGACCTTGCATACCCTCTTAGCATTCTCGCACGCTATGTTGCTCCTGGGAGACACAGACCCGAGCACATGGCTGCAGCGAAGAGGGTGTTGCGCTACTTGTGCAGTACGTCGGGCATGGGGCTCGTGATTGGAGGGCGGAGTCCAGTGGTCCTCACTGGTCACGCAGACGCTCCGTGGGTTGACGACCAGGCTACGCAGCGGTCGTCACAGGGTTACACCTTCAGCCTTGGTCCCGGTTCTGTTTCGTGGAGGTCTACCTGCTCGTCTTCTGTTCTCAGCTCCAGCTATGAGGCTGAGATCTACGCAGGGGCCATGGCTGCATAGGAGTTACGTTGGCTCACCTACCTGCTGACTGACCTAGAGAGCCGCCTCGTTCTCCTCCAGTTCTGTACGTAGACAACAAGGCCATGCTGGCCTTGTGTCGGCAGCACAGGCTGGAGCACAGAATGAAGCACATTGCTCTTCGCTACTTCCTTGCTCGTGAGCTGCAGCAGCGTGGTTAGCTAAGACTTGCTTACGTGGCCTCTCAGGCCAACACTGCTGATATCTTCACCAAGGCACTCCCGCCTTGTGATCATCAGCGCTTCTGTACTCTGTTAGGTCTGGTGCCTACTTTGCCTCACTTGCTCATTTCTTGACTTTGCTTGTACTGTGACCTTTCTATACCTGCACTTGCATGTTTAGCTTTATATATATATAATCCTGCATGTGAACTGGCCTTGTGGCCTTTGAACTTGTGCTCGGAATGTGTGGTGACGTTGTGATCCACCCTGAGCTTGCTGTGTTTTGCTTGACTGGTCTTGTGACCCTTTGTTCTCCCCCACTTTGCCTATGGGGGTGTGTCAAACTTATAAACTATAGTCTATCTAGGCTGTAGTGGGGTAGACTTTAAGGGGTATGGTTTCCTAGGGTTTCATATTTGTACCTTTCACATTCCTTAGTCATTCATTCCTCATTGTATCACAGTGATGGGTGTTTCTTGATAGTCGATGGTAGCAAATTGCAATGTTTTGCAAAAAAAAAAAAAAAAATCAATAGATCACTGTGTTTAGTGTTTTAGCGGCTTTTGTAGAAGTACAGTTGCGTTGTTAGTGTAGACAAAAAAGATGGTTTTGGCTTCTTGCTTTGTTAGTGCATGTCACAAACCAATCAGCTCACAAAGAACCCCTCTGGGTGTTACACACACCTGGCTGTCAATCGTAACCCGTAACCCACCTCCCCAATTGTTGAGCCTCGCTAGGTCAACGAGGTTTAGGTGTATCCACTCTCAGAGTAAGCATCTGCGAACCCCCTTCTGGGAGGCTGACAAAATACGTCAACACAGGAGATTGATCCCGGGACCTCCCTCGTCGGAAGTGACCCAGCCATCTCAGCTTCTATCCAGCCCGAAGCCCTCCCACCAGCACTTTTTAATTCTGTCATTGAAACGAAGTGCCTCGCGTTGTGGTGCGTATTGTTGTTGTGCTTGGTCCTTAGTTTCTCCTCCTTTTCCTCTTTCCACCTCTACTACCTTTCCTGTTTCCTACCTCTTGTTCTCTTCCTCTAATACCTCTTAGCAACATTACCACCCATACTCTGTTAAGTAAAGAAGTTGACGTCCGGCTCTGCGGCGATGAATCCGAAGAATAGCGACCAAATTTTGCAGCTTGAGGGCTTCAGCTCGGAGTGCGGCGCTTTAGAGGGGTGAGTGAGCTCGAAGCTGGCTGGCTGCCACATGGAGGATGAAAATTCTTTGTGCTCCTTGATATTGTGATACAGGTATGAACACCTCGGTTTTAAGCTGTTGCTAAGCAAGTATAATCACTAGAGAGGATACTTGGCACAATCTATATATAATGATTATGGAGTTAAGTCACCTGATTTGTGTTATTATAGTAGTGTAGGTCCTCTTTATAGAGACTTTCGCCATCCATTGCTGGATTTTCATGCTGCGCCATCTGCGCGTGCATCTTAGGGGATTGGTCGAGCCGAGGAAAGCAGTTGACCAAGTTTATTGCGGGTGCGGTAGAACAGAGCTCAAGGCTCCGTGAGGAAAGGAGCCACCAGCTTCATCTGAATTTCACCTTGGGTGATTGGTTCTGACCCTGTGGCGATTCATCATTCACCTCTGCGATGCGGGACTTGAGAATCTCGCTTCGACTGAGTTGCCCGTGCCATTTGTGTACAGTTTCGACTGGATCAGAACTCAGAAGGAAAATTATGGGAAAAGTGGGTATCGAGAGGTCAGCAGCCCCAACCCCCCAACCTTTAATCCCACTGATGTTTACATAGATATTCTAGGTAAGGTTTGCACTAATTCCTTCTGTTGTTGCCTCGCAATCGAGCTCCCACAATATTTACGCATGTCACACGCTCCGTGGTATCCTTTCCCGCCAGGTACCCCGCCAAATGCGTCCACCCGAATATCGCAGCGCATTCTCCTGGCCCAATGTTTCCCGTGGCCCGCAGAGTCGAACACCAGAGGCGAGGAACATTTCTTGAAACCCAAGGTTACCAGCGCGCAGCTCTGGTAAACCTTCTGCACCATACCGAAAAGTAGAGTTTTCTCGTACGCGATCAGCAGTTGCCCAGTTTTCCTTGCTGAGGATAAATACCACTAGACTGGTGCTAGGATTATTATCAGTTCCTTCACACCCTCGTCGCTCAACCAACATTTATTCTATCATCTCTTGAAATTGATTTAGCAGCTAGCGAATTTGGTCCGCCATGGGGCTCCGCCGTTACCTCTGCTTGCCGATTTGCCTCCTAGTTGTCACAGCATCCATCGGTGAGTGATATGTGAATCTTCACCTTTGCTACAGCCGATATCACCAGGAATCCTGTGACTTAATCACAGCGATATGCTTCATTTTCCATGCGTCTGCTACATTGCTTATCTTCTTATTTGCAACTTCATAAGCTTATTCCATGTGTGTTTATGTTGCGCAGGAATCACGACTGCACGCCCTGTGAATAAGGACAATAAAGGCGGGAAGAAAGGACCCTCGAATGCAGGCCCGTGCCCGCTGCCCAAGGAAAAAGATGCTGAGCCTCTCGGGAATCTGACGGGTGAGAACTCTTTGGGGAATCTGACGCATGATAGGAGCCCGGTAAATTTCTAGATGCTTGGCTAGCAGTGTGGCATGTCCTTACGAGAATCCGCGCGTTGATTACGGCTTTTACAATCAAAACAGCAGCTTCTCTCCTCTTCTCGCCTCTGTTCTATTCTCCTGTCGTTTTCTCCGCGCTCTCACTGTCCTCTTCGCCCTTCTCTCACACACTCTCGCTCCCCCGTTCACCTTTCCTCTGCGTGCCCTCCTCTTGCCGAACAATCCCCCCCCCCACCTCCAAATCCTCACCCCCCCCCTCCACCTCCGCGCAGCGATTCTCGCCGCGCGGCTGAACGGATCCAATGTGGTTGGGGCGACGGGCGACGTCAACGCCACCAGCAGAATCTGCCTTGCCGTTTTCGAGTAAGCCGACCACCTGTTTTTTTCTTCCGTTTTTTCTCGAACCACGTCACCTGGTCCTCTCTGCCGCCTTCCATCTTCCCGTTGATTAAACTAAACCGCTGCCCCACATCATCATCATCATCCCGAGAGTGCCTTCATTTCCCTGAGCGATCCGCATTCCGACCTTCCTTCCCGCTCGCTTGTATGAAACCTGACGGAAACCGTCAGGCTAGACGACGACTACAACGTCTTCTACAGTGCCGTCGTCTCCATCTCCGAAGACGGCGAGCCGCTTGGCGCGACGATCTCGATAGGCGCGGCAGGAGAGGCGGGCGACCCCGCCGCCCTTTTAGTGCAAGCAGGAGAATCCACCACTTGGACGAATATTACCCGTCCCCCGCCTCCCCCTCCCAAGGGCAAAAAGAACAAGGGCACACCGCCCCCCCCCCCTCCTCCGAAGTACACTTATGCCAGAAACGGGACGTGGCTTAAAGGGAATGCAATGGAGATGGTTGGCGGAATGACGCTGAAGGTGCTGGTGGATGCGATGCTCGCGAATCCGGATGGTTACTACGGGTCGTTCGCGACGCCTGCTTTTGAGTTGGGTGCGGCGCGGGGGCAGTTTCAGTCGGACCCGCTTCCGCCGCTGAAGGACAAGAAGGGCGGGAAGGATGGAGGGAAGAATGGTGGCGGGAAGGATGGCGGGAAGAATGGCGGAGGCAAGACTGATGGCAATCGGTTCGGCACTCTTGTCGGTAAGCGCAAAAGAAAGTAGAGATTTAACGTCTTTCCGCTCCAAGCCTTCGCCGGCTCTCTTGCCTCGCCCACCATGCATCCTTGCTTAGGATTCAGCCACCCACCGCGCATTTTTTCCTTTCCGGGGTTCTGCGATTACGTGCAGGTGCGGTCGCAGCGCGAGTCAACGGCTCTAATGTTGACCTCAGCGCTGACGTCAACGCCACAGGCTGCATTGACCTCGCCATCTTTCTGTAAGCTTCTCCTTCTCTCTTCTCTCTACTCAACGTCTTATTTTCCTCAGTTCGCGCCTCACTCCCAGCCTCCCCTCACCATCTTCCTGTAAGCTCCCCTCAGGTCACCTCTCCCAACCTTCTCCCCAACCTTGATTCTATCGACATCCCCTTGCTTGCATCATCGTGTTTTTATTGCCTTACAATCCCCCTCTTGTTAAATTTCGCCCTTTTCTCAACAGTCCCATATCCTGCCCCACCCTGTCCCTGCTCTGCCCTGCCCCTCCCTGCCACCCGCTGCCAACCCTCCCTCAGAAACGCCACGACTAACGACTATGACATTTATTATCACGCCCGCGTGAGTCTCAATGACTCCGGAGAGCCGACTGGTGTCGTCATCAAGAAGGGCGCTGACGTGGCACTCACCGTGACCACCAGCGACGCCAAGTGGACCAATCGCACGCTCTCAAACGCCGAGCGCGCCAAGCTGGGCGACAAACTGACTCCCAAGGGCAGGAAGGGCAAGCAGCCGCCTCCCCCCCCCCCCCCTCCCCTCGGTTACAACTACGAAACCACCGGCACTTGGCTAAGCACCAGTACTGTGACTGCGGATAACGGGCAGACATACAAGGAGCTAGCGGACGCCATGTTGGCTGCTCCTGACGCTTACTCTGCTCTCATCTACACCAAGGCGTTTGAGAACGGTGCAGCGAGCGGCGCTTTCGCGAATGTCACCAAGGCTGGTGGTGAACGGTCCGGCAAATTGGGAGTCAAATTGGGGATTGAAGCCAGACTCGGACTTGCCTGAAGGTCCATGGGGCGCGGGCAATTTTTATTCTTTCCCTAGCCAATTGGTCATCAAAGCCTTGTACGATAGCACATCGACCATGGACCCGTACACAGTGGGGCAAAGGTGCTTTAGCTATTTCAGGATGTCTCTTTGTTGTACACATAAAAAGACTTCAAAATATTATTCCTGCCAAGATGTAAGGAAAAACCCCTTCCTTACAGAGTTTAACTTAACCGCATACAACCCCAACTTTCGGAAGTGCACATTCGGTCACTTTGCTTGCTACCGAAGCAACCTCTCGTCGCCTTCGACCTTTCCTTTGCCCAACCTGCACCCAACCTCATGTTCCCGAGGGGCCTGCCTGTCAGAATAATATATAATTCTATATATTGTTTTGTAACTGCCTGTAGTGTAGACTACTGTAGTTATACAATATTCTGTTTGGTGGTGCACCTTTCTTCTTGCCTATATGTACTGCTCGCTCTATAGTGAAACCTCTCACTTTTCTTGAAATCTTCTCGACTTACCTAAACCCACTCGAGCTCAACTCTCCTCCTAACTAGCTATGGCTCCTTAGCCTAGCTCAAGTTTTGTCACTGCCTAGCTAGGTTGCCTCGCATCTTCGTTATTCTTTATTCCGCGCACTCTCTTTTACAACTCATGACACCTTGTATTAAAGCTATTTTCCTTGTTCACCCCGCTTTTCGAGGGTAGTTTGGTGGCACGCGTGTGGTCGGTATAGTGGACTACACGACCGTTAGCTGCAAGGTTCGTTAATTCAATCCTGCCCGACTCCGGTTCACAGTGATGCCGTTCGTCCTCACAAACGCGCCTTCGACATTTCGGGTTTAGGGTGAACAGGATTTTCCGGAAATTTCTCGACAAGTGTGTGATCGTCTATTTGGACGATATTATGATTTATAGCAGGACAAGGGAACAACACCTCCGAGACCTCGACGCAATGTTTAAGCGGTTGCAGGAAAACCGCCTCATCACCAAGGGCTCTAAGTGCGAGTTCTTTCAGCAGGATTTGGAATTTTTGGGGCACGTCATCTCCCGCGACGGCATCAAAATCAACCCGGCGAAAATCAAGACCATTCAGGAGTCCCAACTAACATCACAGAGCTTCTGAGTTTTTCGGGATTCGTGAATTACGTCTGGCGGTTCATCCCGAATATGGCGGGGATAACCGGCCCACTGACCGACCTGCTGCACAAGGACAGGAATTTTGTGTGGGGGAGGAAGCTGGGGCGGCTTTTCAGGAGTTGAAGAATTTTGTAAAGATAAGGAGCTTAGGGTTTAGGACTTAGGCGTAGGATGGTATCGAGAGGGAGAGAGGATTGGCCAAAGAGGTTGTTTCATTATGAGATTGGGAGTACAAATAGGAAGAAGGGGAAGGGGAAAGGGTACACCACCAGCAGTTGGTATCTAATAACTAATCTAGTACACTAGCTAACTGTAGGCAGTTATAAGGTATGCAAATACAATTCAACAAATTTTCTCGTTTCCCCTACGGTTTTGCGCATCGCCGACCCATCGAAGCCGTTCGAAGTCGTCACCGACGCCTCAGATTTCGCCATCGGAGCTGTACTCCTCCAAGATTTCGAAGGGGTTGCAACCGATCGCCTACGAGTCACGCAAACCGCAGGCAGCCGAGCGCAACTACCTGATACATGACAATGAGATGCTCGCCATAATAAACGCGTTCAAACTATGGCGCTGCTACTTGGTGAGCGCCGACGTCACTGTTTGCACGGACGTCCCTACAGTACCTGCGAGCTCAGCCGAACCTCAACCCGCGACAAATTCGATGGCTGGACTACATGGAGAGCCACTTCACCTACCGCATGGGCGAATAACATCGCCGATGCCCTGACCAGACCGACGGTTCAATCCGCTGTGGTGCTCATCACCCATTCGAACCCGCTACTTACGGGACTATTCATCCACGGCTACACTACGGACATGTGCTTCACGACTAGAAATCACCAGCAGACGACGACGCAGAAGGGGAATTATTACCTAAAAGCCGGAACTGGCCAGGTTTGGGTTCCCGCTTACAGGCTGCTGCATGAACTCCTCATTCAGGAGGTCCACGATTCTAAACTCTCCGGACAAACTGCTCCGACCCCACTCACTGGGAAAACTCGCTCGCCATGCTGGAGTTCGCGTTCAACAACGCCCCGTCCAGCACGACCAATCACTCCCCGTTTTTCCTGAATGACGTGATGGACCCGATGGTGCCTACAACGACTACACCCGACAACCCGGTTCCGAGGTCACAAACATTTGTGACGGAACTTCAGGAAGTTCGCGAAAAGGTTGCGGACGCAATTCGCAAGGTGAATACCACTCCCCGTAAATACACCGACCTTCTACGACGGGAACTCGTCTTCGCAGCTGGGCAATTAGTGCTACTTGACACGAAGAACCTGCACCTGCCCGGCCCATCGAAACTCCGGCCACGATTCTGCGGGCCTTTCAAGATCATCAAGATGGTGACACCTGTCACCGCGAAGCTGCTACTACCCGACGATTGGCGTATACATGACGCTTTCCATGCCAACCTCCTTCGCAAGTTCGTGCCTGCCACAATAAACATCGCGAGCCAGAACGCCGCCCCGACAGCCCGACCTATCCCAGAACCGACACTTGACCCGTCCAAGATTTTGGCGCATCGTGTTCGGCTCGACGCTTCTGGACGCCACGCGGATTTTCTACTCTGCTAGACTGACCGCACCAGTGAGGACGACACTTGGGTGCCATCCGCCTTGCTTGAAGCTTCTCCGCTTCTTGGTGATTACCTCACCCGCAAGCAAGCTGCGGATATTGACCACCTTTCTTAAAGGGGGGGGGGGTAGTGTAAGGAAAAAACCTTTTCCTTACAGGGGTTTACTCAACCGCGTACAACCCCAACTTTCGGAAGTGCACGTTTGGCCACTTTGCTTGCTGCCGAAGCAACCTCGCGTCGCCTTCGACCTTTCCTTTGCCCAACCTGCACCCTACCTCTTGCTCCCGAGGTTCCTGCCTAGCTAGGTTGACCCACTATATTAGCTCGTGCCTTCATTGTATTGTTAGTTCATTGACTCATATCTTCGTTATTCGTTATTCCGCGCACTCTCTTTTATAACTCATAACACAGGATGTCTCTTTGTTGTACACCTGATGCATGGACAATCAGCGTTGCATGCACAATCAGCAATGCAAGGGCAGATAGACGGCATGCTACTAGTCAACAAGCTAGCTAGCAACACCTAGACAGCATTACACCCAACCAATAAGGCCCTCCCACCACCACTTAAGTGAGTGAACATACACTTGTGGAAATCCCCAATGTGTTTCTCAGGATGATCAGTGCCCTGCATAAATGACAGCTCAGAATTCAAAGGGTCCACTACTCACTGGCCACCACTAGAGTGCATAAGCCCCCTATTATGTGGGTTGGTGCACAGAAGGGGTTGCTATTGATGATCAGTATAGTTTCAGTGCACCCGCACCCCAAGTGTTTCAGCGCACAACCAGGAGCAGCCAGCACCCCACTTGTCTCTGTGCTGTAAGCCATGTAAGCGGCGCTGCAGATGCTCATGAACATGGAACGTACAGCGCGTGGTGATTATCTGCAATGCCGACTACGATAAGGAACTTGTTAAGTCATGCCTACCGTCACGTCAACAGGGAGAAGCTTTCGCTGGTGGAGCATTTTAATAGGAAAACAATCCCCTGAAGTTTTGGTCCAATGGTGGACACTTTTGTTGGACGAAGGCAAAAGTTGCTGAGCTTCTGTTGTCAGAAACTAACGACCAGGAATGATTGCATTGACATCAAACTGAGTACAAGTATAATCCTAATTGGGTTGTACCCCATATAGGCTACCCCACTACAGCCTACACAACACAAGTAGCATTATAGTTTGACACACCCCCATAGGCAAAGTGGGGGAGAACAAGGGGTCAAAAGACCAGTCAAGAAAAGCAAAGCAAGCTCAGGGTGGATCACAAAGTCACCATTCACATTGAGCACAAGCAAATAGCCACAGGGCCAGTCCACATTCACAGCTATATAAAAGACATCAAACAGTACAGTGATCACTACCTAGCAAGAGTAAGAATGCGGGTATATATAGAGGTCATGGTACAAGCAAATTCAAGCAGTGAGCAACGAGGCAAAACACGCAAAAGGCCCAACACAGTACCAAAGCGCTGATGATCACAAAGCTGAAGTGCCTTAGTGAATATATCAGTAGTGTTGGCCCGAGTGGCCACGTAAGCAAGACAAAGGTGACCACGCTGCTGCAACTCTCGAGCAAGGAAGTGACGCAAAGCTATGTGCTTCGTTCTGTGCTCTAGTCTGTGCTCCTGATACAAGGCAATTACAGCCTTGTTGTCTACGTACAGAACTGGGGGAGAATGAGGCCGCTCTCCCAAGTCGGCCAGCAGGTAGGTGAGCCAGCGTAACTCCTGTGCAGCCATGGCTGTTGCGTAGATATCAGCCTCACAACTGGAGTTGAGAACAGAAGACGAGCGATTAGACCACCAAGAAACAGAGCTGGAGCCAAGGCTGAACGAGTAATCCTGAGACGACTGCTGCGTAGTCAGGTCGTCAACCCACGAAGCGTCTGAGTGTCCAGTGAGGACAACTGGACCTCGCCCTCCAAGCATGAGCCCCATGCACAAGTAATGTAGTACCCTCCTCACAGCATCCCAATGCACCTTTCGGTGCCTACCAAGAGCCATGTAGCATGCCAAAAGGCCATGAGGGTACGCAAGGTTAGGACGAGTGCATTTCATCAGGTACATGAGGCAGCCTACTAGCTCTGGGTACGGGCCACTCGGCTCTACGGACTCGTTCGAAGGTGGAGCTGAGAGCAAGTGACTGGTAGCCAAAGGAGTGGATTGTGGCGAGGACCAAGTGAAGTAGAAGCGCTGAAGGACCTGCTGCACCATGTGTGACTGAGTCAGGGTGATGGTGCATCATGCTCTGTCCCGGGTGATCTGCAACGCAAGATAGCTGCGCAACTC